CAAAGGGAGACTCTCTCAGCACCACTCCTGCCATCAGAGGAATTCATTCCTTCCCCATTCTGCTCCCTCCATCCTGCCTCTCTCTAGACTGCTCTCTACAGGCTGGTGAGGGAACTGTTAAAGCACAACCTGTCCGCTGCACTGCCCCACTTAGACACCTGCAGAATCCTCAGCACTCCATTTCACTTCCGCTGAGGTTTCCTTTGTTCAACCTGCAATCTGCATTCCAACAGCAACATTTCCCAGAGGAAAACGCATGAGTTAGTTTCAAACAACCAGCATAACAATGAGCCCTCTCCATTGGAACTGCCTGACCCTTTAAGACTATTTTGCAGTAAAAATTCCTGTCTAACCACATGACTCAAAACCCCTCAGTGAAAACTGTGCTTTGATATACGTCAGTCAGTTTCCTGTTTCACTTTTTACTGTACTCATGTAAATTGATCTTCAGTGGATACTAAACTGTTTCCTAGTGCCAAAAATTATTAGTCATTTCAATGTTTAATAGCACGATTTGTGAAATCCTGTCCACTGTAAAACCATGCAGCTCTGAGTGATGTATTCTGAATTTCCTTCTGGCCTTCACTGTTTTGAAATGATCTGGTGATTATTTTCCATTACTGTTCATTTGTTGCAGAGTTTTTGTTCACACTTTTCTTTACATTTTTTTAGGCTAGCTTTTGAGATACCTCTTGTTCCACTGAAACTAAAATCTTGAGAAAATTTGCTATCATTTCTTTCAAGTTGCAAAAGTAATATATTTTGTTTATAAAAATTAAAAATTCAACCACTTAAAAATCATCTTTTGGCCTTTATTTAATACACTAATCAAAAAATAAAATTGCATTAAACTGAACATGCCTTTGTTGTATAAAATAACCTCCTGCCTTAGAATAGTAATTCAGCCATTCTAAAACTTGATCAGGAATAATTATCACCTGGAAGGTTGTAAAGACACGTGTTGCTGTAGGGAGTGGTGGCACTTGGGAGGTGGAGGCAGGAGGATCATGAGTTCAAGGATAGCCTGGGCTACATAGTGAAACTTTCTTTAAAAATCAAACCCAAAAGAGAATAAAACCAACAAAACAAAACAGATGAGCAAAACAAACAAAATACACACTAATTGTTAGGCCCACCCCTTAGAATTTCTGACTGAACAGGTCTGTGATGTGGCCCAAGTTGGCATTTTTAACAAGTGCCTAGGTGAAGTTGATGCTGCTGCTCTGAGGACCACACTTTGGTATAATGTCAGAGAAGGGCCTTGAGGATTATTTCTACCTTACTTATAGCTCTACTGGTTGCAGTTTACAAAATTCCACTGGGACTGACTTGTGTATAGAAGAGCATTTATTGGAAGTAGCTGAGATATCTCTCACTCCAGGATTGAGGAGTATAGCAGCACAACAGGATGGAAGTAGGTCTCTCTTTTCCTGTCCCCCCAAAATCCAGGCACTAGGTTGTTCTGTTAAAATAATTAAGAGAGAGCTCTGATTGCCACTGGCCAGCCAATGAATTGACTTCCCCTGGGGTCTGTGTCATCCCTGATTGAATCTGCTCAGGTTAAGAGTACGAGAGTCCCTTAGTTCAAGTTGGTGCCATGAGGGAGCATCATGAAAGTTCCATGTCTCAGAGAGAAATGGGATAGACTTGGCAAAGATGCTAATAGCATCTACTGTATTTGAACTGCAGAGAGAGCATTCTGGGAAAATTGAGACCCCCCCCCCAAGAAGCATATATCTAATAAGTGGCAAAGCCATGCCTGAAAGTGGCAAGTAGAGATTTGTTTTTGGCCAATGGTATTCTGGAATTGCTGATAAGTTTTGGAGAGCTGACTGTTAAATATTTATGAATTTTTTGAGCAAGTCAAACTTGGTAATTGGAAATTAGCCACAGTCAGAAAAATTAACACCACGAAAATCGGCTACCATTATAAACCAGGATATTTTTTCCTTTTCTTCTTTTGTCAAAGAGTCAGCTTGCAAGCATGTTCTTGCAGAATTCCATGTGGGGAAGTTTATAAGCAATGCAGACAGCATATTTTAGATGAGAAGCAACTCCAGTTTGCATTTCCTAGTAGTAGTAATCCAAACCTTAACATCAGAGGATTAATCCAGCTCTGTCAACTGCATGTCATTTTGCACCTCCAATCTGGATGACACTTTCTTTGACACACTTCATAAAATAAGCCCATGGTACTTATGTCTGCTCTGGTTCCTGGATTCAAAGTCAGCTCCTTTCTAATTGTTGAACAGAACATCTTTTTGTCTTTAAAGAGTAAGAAGCAAGTGCATGAGAGGCCAAGACAGATGTGTCTTTAAGAGACTCACTTTAAAAAGTAATAAGGCAGCCAATAAACAAATTCCTCTTGGGAAATCTGCTTACTGGGTAGTTATTTAAAGAAGAAAATCCATGTCTAAATTGCCCAAGATATCTTTCTCCAGGCTCCCATGGCGTGGTGTGGCGTGGCTTGGCTGTCCACTACCTCATTCCCATCAGCAGACAATGGCTGGGAGAGAAAGGAGCCTCTGTGCCTGTAAGTGATTCCCCAGGCACAGAGGCCCCTGGCCTCTACCACCTGTCACGGAGCCCACTGACGCACCTCAACTGTCACGTTGGCAGTTTTCTGCCCAGCCTCTTGTCCCACATTTCTTAAGAGTCACAAACTGCATGTACTCCACTGACCGCAAGACAGCACTGGAGCTGGGGGTGGGGTGGGAGAAGGCGGGGTATTTCCCTCCAATAATATTTCCTGAGCAAGAGCCTAAAACAACACAAAGCTATGCTCCAGCCTTCCCAGAGGAATGAATGTGAGGCCACCAATTGCTACCACCACTGATTCTGCTGTGACTCCAGTGTGATTTATTGGAAAGTGATGCTGTCATGAGATTTCCTAGGCATCCTCTTCTGTGGCAGACCTGACGCTACTTATTTGACACACTGAGAAATGAGGATGCCAAGACAAGTGAAGTCCTGGCACTTATGTCGCTGAAGATAAAAGCATTTTATGAATTCTGATGCTCCACATTCTTCCTTCTCTTTTTCCTTTCTTCTTCCTCCCACTGCCTCCTCTTCTTCCACTTCTCCCCTCACCCTCAACTCCATTTTTTTTTATTTTTCCTCTTTTCTATTTTTTTTTCATTTTTCTTTTATTATTCATATGTGCATACAAGGATTGGTTCATTTCTCCCCCCTGCCCCCACCCCCTCCCTTACCACCCACTCCGACCCCTCCCTCCCCCCCCCAATACCCAGCAGAAACTATTTTGCCCTTATTTCTAATTTTGTTGTAGAGAGAGTATAAGCAATAATAGGAAGGAACAAGGGTTTTTGCTGGTTGAGATAAGGATAGCTATACAGGGCATTGACTCACATTGATTTCCTGTGCGTGGGTGTTACCTTCTAGGTTAATTCTTTTTGATCTAACCTTTTCTCTAGTACCTGTTCCCCTTTTCCTATTGGCCTCAGTTGCTTTAAGGTATCTGCTTTAGTTTCTCTGCGTTAAGGGCAACAAATGCTAGCTAGTTTTTTAGGTGTCTTACCTATCCTCACCCCTCCCTTGTGTGCTCTCGCTTTTATCATGTGCTCATAGTCCAATCCCCTTGTTGTGTTTGCCCTTGATCTAATGTCCACATATGAGGGAGAACATACGATTTTTGGTTTTTTGAGCCAGGCTAACCTCACTCAGAATGATGTTCTCCAATTCCATCCATTTACCAGCGAATGATAACATTTCGTTCTTCTTCATGGCTGCATAAAATTCCATTGTGTATAGATACCACATTTTCTTAATCCATTCGTCAGTGGTGGGACATCTTGGCTGTTTCCATAACTTGGCTATTGTGAATAGTGCTGCAATAAACATGGGTGTGCAGGTGCCCCTGGAGTAACCTGTGTCACAGTCTTTTGGGTATATCCCCAAGAGTGGTATTGCTGGATCAAATGGTAGATCGATGTCCAGCTTTTTAAGTAGCCTCCAGATCCTCAACTCCATTTAGTAGTCATTGAGCATCCACCAACATATTGAGCTGGTACTTTGAGAATCACAGGAGTGTGCATTGAGGTAAAAAGTACAGCCCAGGATCCAGCTACTTCCCTCTGAAACATTAACTTGCCTCATCTCACTCATTGTTTTCTCAACAGGATTATCAACGTCCTATTATCAACAAGGATTGTTGGTTGGTGATGGTGGATATAACATGCTCCCTGCTTCTGCAGACTCATCGGAGAAGCAGACACTTAGAAAACTAATGAGAACCTGGAAAAGTACTTTGTATTAAATTGTAGACATGATGAACTAAGATTGCATCTAGTTTTATTGAATCTCAAAGTGCTTTCAATGGATTATTGCATCATATGATGTAATCTTTACAACCCTATGAGGTAGGCATGGGAACAATGTTAGTTTTTGGTTTATCTGTCCTTCCTGGACCAAGAGTTCCCTGGGGGAGGGACCTTGTTATAAAGTCAGAGATTCTCATAGTTGAAGGAATCATAGAAGAAAGACAACCAACTGAACACCTACAGATGAGGAATCTGAGGTAGTAGAAAAAGGGAATTCTACCTGGCCACCTGGGTCCTGTCCCAGCTTTCAGCTGTAGGGCTATATGCATGACTTCGAACATGACTTCTTTATATCTTGATATCCTCTTCTCTGACATGGATCAACACTATTTTCTCTGCCCACTTTATTGGGCTATTATGAGTATTAAATGCGGCAAAAGATGTGAAAACATTTGTGAAGCATCAAACACATGACACCTCTTTGTATCTATCTCTCATAAGGCCTATCTACAGCAGGGCACAGCTGTAATCCCAGCTCTGGGGAGGCTGAGGCAGGAGAACTGTAAGTTCAAGGCCACCCTTGGCTACATGTGAGACTCTGTCTCAAAAAAAAAAAAATCAAAGCCAAAAAACCAACAAAAAAAAAAAGCCCAAGACCTGTTTAACTCTAGGTCACACTTGGTTTAGCTATGGTTATGTGGGAACCAGCATTTGATGACCTCTCGGGAGGCAGGGACAAGTTTTATTGACATTTGTATCACCAGCACTTAGTATAGCACCTTCTAAAAAGTTGCTGTACTAAGATCTTGTCGCAGATCGTGCTCATGCAGACCATCTATTATGGCTCTCTGGGCCTTTGGCTGGCACTGGTGGACGCGCTAGTGCGAAGCAGCCCCTCGCTGGACCAGATGTTCGACGCCGAGATCCTGGGCTTTTCCACCCCTCCAAGCCAGCTCTCCATGATGTCCTTCATCCTCAACGCTCTCACCTGTGCCCTGGGCTTGCTGTACTTCATCCGGCGAGGGAAGCAGTGCCTGGATTTCACTGTCACTGTCCATTTCTTTCACCTCCTGGGCTGCTGGTTCTACAGCTCCCGTTTCCCTTCGGCGCTGACCTGGTGGCTGGTCCAAGCCGTGTGCATTGCACTCATGGCTGTCATCGGGGAGTACCTGTGTATGCAGACGGAACTCAAGGAGATTCCCCTCAACTCAGCCCCTAAATCTAATGTCTAGAATCGGGCCTTTTGGACTCTCTACTGGCACTTGGGGCTCCCAACACCTTGGGCTGCTCAGACCCTCCACATGAGATCTAGCCCAGGTCTGAGAGGAACCCTGGAAATGTGAAGTCTCTGTTGATGGAGAGCTAGCGAGGCCCCGCCAAGAAGGCAAGTAGCAGGATTACAGCTGCAAGAATAGCCTCTATCTGCCGAAGCCTTGGTGTCTGGGAAGTCAGAAAGGGGGACCTCTTTGAGGGTAATAACAGATTTGGAACCATGTTACCCTTGAGCCATCATATCTATCACCAGCGCGTTTAAAAAAAAAAATCAAGGATATCTGATTGGAGCAAACTACTCTTATAGTCATGTCTTACCTCCCTGGGACAGCTTTTACTTTTGCCATGTTGCCAAACCACAGTGATTCTGTTTGGAGAAACACTTGCTTTCCAGGTCCACAACCACAGAAAGAGACATAGGTGCAAAGTACCAGGCTGCTGTCAGGGAGAGGATGGCAGACGGAGGCATCAAGCACAAAGAAAATGCATAACCTGTACTGTTGCAATGCGTGTGTATACCCAAGAACTCATGGCTAACTTCGAGTTCCCTCTACCAGGTCCCTACCCTGCTGCCATCTCTCAACAAAGCAGGCCATAGGGTCCAGAGAAGACTCTCAGCGTCACTTTCAGTCTCACCTTCATAATGAAGTCAGCGATGGTGCCCTGGCTCCCACTGGACCTCAAAAAAAAAAAAAGTTGCTTTAAACATGTGTATTAGATAATGATTACTGGACACATGGATAAAAGAAACACAAATATGACTTGACTGAAGACAGGTCTGAACATTCTCTCTTTTGGTGATAATTCATAAATGTGTTTTCTGAGTAATTTTCCTTCCATCTCTAATTCAGTTCCTATGATATGACTATACCAGGATACAAAGGTCATTGTGTCCCTGCTGCCCAGAAAGATCACTCATGGTTGCTTCTATAGCATTTGGGAGGTAAAAGTGAAATCCTGCCATTCTTTCATCTCAGAGGGCATTTCCCATTTGCAAACTCTATTCCAATAAAGTTGAGAGTTAGTCAGAGACCTTAGGTTGGTATCCTATAGGCAATACTGCTGGATTGACAGTCATGGGAAAGGAGCCATGGGGCCAAGACCCAACAGACTTGCTGGGGCAGTCTGTGGTCCAGGCTATGGGTCCATAGTTGGGCAGCTCTCCTCTGCTCACATCCAAAAGCAGATTCTGAGACACTTCTTGAAAACAATGTGCTCATCTTCATCAGCTCCTTGATTTTTGGATTCAGGGGTGTGGGTCTATGAAGCACCTGCTGTATACTGTGCTTGAATTTCTGATGTGGAAGTTGTCTTCTAAGGTGAGAGATGACACCATGAGACTAAATGCCTTCAAGGAAGAAGTGTCAGTAGACTGAAGTTTTGAAGCATACTCAGTTAAGTGGGGGTGGGGAAGAGAAACCAAAAGAATGGGGAGAGATAGAGAAAATGAGAAGATGAAAGTGAGGTACTGACATGTCACAAATGCTAAAAAAGGAGTGGGAGAAAGAGAGAGATGACTTAACTGTCATATCTAGTAGAGTCATGAAAAGGAACTCTGACCATTAGATGGGGCAATAAGGAGGTTATCATTAAGATATATAAAAGTTCAGACATGTGGTATGTCAGAAGCAGAAAGTTAGGAGAGATGGGGCTGCCTAGGAAAGTGAGGCTCTGTGGTTCCTCACATATTTAAGAATTTGTACAGGAAAGAAATGTTGACCTGTGGTGAAAAGGGGTATCAGGATCAAAGAAAAGCTTATCAGTTTGGGCAACTCTCAGCACACCTGATGATGGGAGGAGAGGAGTCACAGAGAGGAAGGTTCCAAAGGAGATAATGGCTAGGGGGCCAGGATGTTCGGGAAGGGATTGGATTCTTATGACCAAGGTCAGAATCCTAGCCTAAACTTGTGAAATGAGAGTGAGTTATCAAAAGCTAACTCCCCAAACCACAGGCAAACTTATTAAGCACCATTAAAGTAAGGATATTTACAGATTGAGGGGGGATATTTATAGAGGTTGGGGGTCTGGGTTCAAGTGGTTTAAGGCAGGTCTTTTATTTTGTCAGGGCTAAGAAATTGAACACAAGGCCTTGCACAAGTTAGGTAAGTGCTCTACCACTGAGCTACATATCCAGCCCAAGGCAATTCTTTCAAAGGGGGATGTTGACTGGGACTGGACAAAGTTCATAATGGGACAGTTTAATATTGGTGAACACAGCAATGTGAAAGCCAAATCTTGGATAGGTAAACAGCTATTTCACAAGTGAACTGTTTGCTCAGGAAATCTATTATCCTAAGAAGAGAGCTGTTTGCTTAGATGAGCAAATATTTGCCTAGACAAGCAAATAGGGAGCCAGGCCTGATGGTGCACACCTCTAATGCCAGTACTTGGGAGGCCAACACAGAAGATTATGAGTTTGAGGCCAACCTGGGCTACAAAGTGAGATCTTGTCTCAAAAATGAATTAATTGATTAAAAAATTTTAAAAAAGAACAAGCCAGGCATGCCTGCAATACTAGCTACTTGGGAAGTGGAGATAAGGAGGCCAGAGGTGGGGTGGGGGGTGCTGGGGAGATGGGGAAAGAGTGAGATACCCCTCCATCTCAATAAATAAATCAGATGTGGTGGTGTGCACCAGTTATCCCATCTACAGGAGAGTATATGGGTAGGAGGACCATGGTCTGAGGCTGAGCAAAAACATGAGACCCTGCCTGAAAAGAAGGAAAGCAAAAAAAGGGTGGGGGGCTTGACTCAAGCGGTAGAGCGCCTGCCTAGCAAGTAAGAGGCCCTGAGTTCAAACCCCAGTACTGCCCAACACAAACAAAAAAAGCAAATAGGGAAGTTTACAGTCTTTTTTCAAGATAAGAATTTCCTGGAAAAAATAGGTGTCATGTTGACAGAGATCGCTTAATGTCTTAATGATCAGTCCTGACTGGTTAGGGTCTTGCAGATGGCCTCAACTCTCAAACTTGAGGGCTTCCTTAAGAGTGAGCATAAACCAGAAAGATTCTAGCAGTGGTTCTAAACTTGACTAACACTGAAATCATCTAAAGATGTTCAAAAACATTAATATATGGTTCCCTCCCCAAGCATTCTGATTTATTTGGTATGGAGGGTGATCTGGGCATCAGGATTTTTGCTCTCTAAGTGTGTTGGTTAGCTTTCCATCATCATGACAAAAATACTTGAGATAAACAATTTAGAGGCAGAATGATCTATTTTGTCTCACAGTTTCAGAGGTTTCAGTCCATGGCCACTTAACTCCGTTGTTTCTGAATCATGGTAGGCAGCATGTGGTGGAGAAAGCTACTCACCTCATGGCAGCATGCAGCAAGGAGAGATTAAGAATGAGGAAGGGACTAGAGACAAGATATACCCTTCCAGGGCATGCCCCTAGTGACCTACTTCAAACTAGGCCTCACCACTGGAAGTTTCCACCACCTCCCAATAATGCCATCAAATTCCTAATCCATCAATGGGTTGATTAACTCATTAATGATGTCAGATCCCTTTTGATCTAATCACTTTCCAAAAGCCTCAACTCTGAACACTACTGCACTGGGGGGAACCAAGCCTTTAACATGTGAGACTTTGGGGGCACATTTCCAATCCAAACCATAATACCAAGCTCAAAGTTCAGAAAATACTTCACTAGAATTAAAGAAAAGGCAGGGATGAAGTAACCATTTGGACGATGCCTTAGAAATATAAGAAAGGAAGAATAATATATTAAATGTTAAAATCAGAGAGCAGGACACTATACTAAGCATGGCATACAACTTCAACCACAGAAGACATAGAAGGAGGTGGTGGTGAGGAACTGCTACATGGGCTGATCCAGGGTGAGGATGGTTGTCGTGGCCACTGGGAGGTTAGATAGAGGAGAATGACACACTAAGCAAGTTCACCATGGAGGTCAAAGTGGAGAGGATGGGCTTGGGCAAAGGGAAGTTCAGACAGCTGAGAGATGTGATCCGAGAGGTAGAAGCCTGCAGTATGGATTTCTGAAGTGGAGAATCTCTGAAGGAGCGTTAGAATGAGGAGGCCCAGAACATAAGGGTGTTGCTTCTCTGACAGGTGAAGGTGGAAGTCTGAGGCATCCTGGAAGAGAAGGAGAGAGATGTGGGGTGTTGGAGGATGTTAGGGTGACCTATGTGGAAAAGACAGAACACTGCAAAGATGTGGAGGTGGCCATGAGCACACAGGAAGGTACAGTGTTATTGTTGGAGAGGGTAGTGTACATAGATTAAATGGAGTCCAAAAGATGAAGTACAAAGAAAGATACCTATGTCCTGACAGCCTAGAGATGACCTCAGGGAGTGAGGAAATCCTGTCCAACCCCCTTCACTGTTGAACAGAGAAGGGGCCTGGGAGGAGGTAAAGGCTATACCAGATCAATGAGTGAGATTGAGGCCATCACCTTGGAATTACATATTCTTTTCATTTCTTAAGATCATCTAATTTTTGAGTAGGTCATACATTCAATGACTTAAATATGAAAAGAGGACTAAAGAGGGATATTGTCAAAAGTCCCCTTTCACTTTGTCACTGTTAGTCCATTTCCCACCTGTCCAATAGGCAACCATTACTTCAGGTTTCAAACATATCATTCGAAGAGTTATGGCTGTGCATATGTAAACATGTGTAAGAACTTGCTCCCTCTGTCTATACATCAGTGGCATATTGTCAGGGCAGCTATTATGATTCATCTTCAGCACACAATGAGGACAGTGGTCCCAAGCTTGTTCAACATGGAAGGATTGAAAGAAGGGGCATGTAGCAGTATGTCTTGAATTTACATAAAACACAGATTAATGCTTTTTCACAGCCCCTATTATGTACAGTGTGGATGTATTCATAAGTTATTAAATGTCCTACAATGAATATTTTGGTTGTTCCTGATTATATATTTTATAAACAATGATGAATATTTCATTTTGCACATATCCAAGTATAAATGATGAATTTCTCAAAGTGTAGTTACTGGTTAAAGGATTTCTTTCTTTTTCTCTTTCCTTTTGCAATACTGGAGATTGACCTTAAGGCCTCCTGCTTGCTAGCAAGCACTCTTAACAGTTGAGCCATACCCCAGTCCTTTTGCTTTTAGTTTGTTTTTCAGGCAGGTCAACAAGTACCAAATCCAACTCAAAAAACAACAATGTACTTTTTCCCATCCTTTCTGGGCTGAAGCATCTGTCTGTTCTGAGGGAAATGCTAGGGAACTGGTGACAGAGATTAACAAAGTGGTGTTACAAAGCTGAGTGGACGAGAGAGAGAGAGAGAGAGAGAGAGAGAGAGAGAGAGAGAGT